GGGAAGGTTAAACCGGTGTTTGAACGACCAGAACTGGTGAGCGATTAGCACGGAATACCGGGTTTGTCGTATCACGATAATTATATTGATGCTTAGAATTGATCTGGGTGAACTAGAATGGCATGATTAGGGGTGTATGGATTTTTGTGCTATATGATGAACCCTGGACTGTTGTATGATATTATTGACTTGCCCTAATCGATATGAACCTTGTTTATGTGGATGATTGCATACATGTTGCCATTTGTGGCTTAATTGTTTATATGACTTCATGGTTGTTCGATAAGGGGTTTTGATATGATGTGATATTATGGTTGTAGTTGGATCCATAAGTGGGGGAATAAACTTCCCAAGGTGATATTATGATGTTTAAGGAGGATGACTTGCACGAGGGTTTATCCCAAGGAAGTGCAATTATACGACTCCTAATTTACCTATGTTGAGCCAATTATGGTCAGGTCAAGTACATGTGCAAGTAATGAATTATGATTAAGCAAGATGAGATATGAATCATGTATAAGGATACCAAATATGAGTGTTGTGATCTCACGGTCAACTACATAGTAATTAGGGCTCCCTATGCTATTACTCTATTATGATATGTATGATAGTCACACCTCTCATGTGGTGGTGACTGAAGAATTCTTATGAGATATGACCACACCCAGAGCGGTGTCGGGGTATGACTACACCCATAGTGGTGTGGGGTATGTATGACCACATCCGACGGGATGTTGGGGTATGTATGACTACATCCGACGGGATGTGGGGTATGTTTCCCGGGAGAGTTATTAGCATGGGAGTAGCCAGGTGCCTATGATTAAAACATGATAAGATGCATATGCATAAGTCAAGGTGGTTGAGTCTTTTGCCTATTGGGATATGAGGATGGCTGAGGTCCTTTCCTAGTGTTTTGGCTTGATTGTTAGATGTATGATAGGGGTGTGCTCTGTTATGAACTCACGATGCTATGATTATCTCACTCAGCTATGAGCTGACCCTCTTTTATTCTTCTTCTCTGCTTATGTTATGTGTAAGCAGATCATCAGCAGCAGTAGATAGGTGTATAGGTGGGAGCTGAGCAAGAGTTGAAGGCAAGATGAGGTATGGTCTTCAACTACTCTGTGCTTGGACTACTACTCGGGATTTTGGCCAGTGATCCACACCTTTTTGTAAAAGAATGTTTTGAGAACGTTTTTCATGTGCATACTAGCTTCTGATCTAGTGTGAGATATCCACAGGTGTGGAAAGTTAATGATATGTGTATATGTTGTGTAACTGTGTAAGTTGTGACGATTATGGTATGTATAAGTATGGTATGCAGTTAGGAAGTATGAAAAGTGTGACTATGGCTAAGAAAAGCCAATGCATATGGTTGTGAGTATATATGTTTGTGATGAATTATTTTGCAGGTTAAGTTGCAAGAACTGTTAGCCCATTACGCGAGTAATTCATGTCGAAATTTTATTTAGGTAAATTTGGATAATTAATGTAACACCCGAGATTAATTCCGCTGCAATTGTATGAAAAATATGATTAGGAAAAAAATATAGGGTAGGGTGTTACAGTTTGGTATCAGAGCCCGGTTCCCTCTTTTTGCTGTTATGGCGTACTATACCCTATGGGAGGCTAAACACTCCTAAGGAGGGGAGTACCCCATAATGACTTAAACTGGGAATTGAGTTTGACATGATTATGTGTATTGGTATATTGGATGAAATTACCTGCATCATGGTTTTCAAAATTGAGTTTTGAACTTATTTGTTTTCAAGTAATTATTTTGGAAATTTTTTGTTTTAACCAAGTGAGAGATTTGGTGAAGAATGAATTTTGGGTGGATCAATCTAAGGCCAACATTTCCTTGTAGCTCGCACGGAAGTTGTGAAAATGTTCCTACTGACCAGTCGAGAGGAGTGGGGGCGGTTGATGCAAGACCGCCAGTATTAGATTATGCAAAGATGAAGAGTTTGGGTGGTAGGGACTTTAAGGGAGATGTGAGCCCAGATGATGTAGTAGAGTGGTTGAGAGAGATGGAAGATGTGTTTGAGTATCTTTATGCGACCCCAGAGGAAAAAGTGCAATATGTTGTTTTTCTCCTAAAGGGGTACGCGAGGAGCTGGTCGTCCTCAGTCTCTAGAGTTAATGGTGAACGAGTTCAGTTCACCTGGGAGGAGTTCCTGAAGGCCTTTAAGACAGAGTTTCTTCCCGAAGCTTTTATCAGGGCAAAGAATAATGAATTCGCCAACCTTAAGCAGGAGAACATGACATTTACTGAGTACACCATCAAGTTTGTTCGACTACTTTACTTTGAGGATGGGTTGGCGGATACTGAGCATAAGAAGAAGATGAGATACTTGCATGGTCTGCGCATAGGATTAAAAGAAAAGATCCACAAGGTTGATGAAGAGAGTATGGCCACAATCAAGGAGGCAGCACTTAAGTATGAAGCCTATGAAGTTGAGAGCCGAGAGGAACACAAGGCCAAAGAAGAGGAGAAGAAGAGGAAGTTTGGAGTAAATTATGTTGGACCTCGTTACCCACCCAGGAGAGGTCCTAGCAGTTTTGGGAGAACACAGAGTCAATCTATGTCGGGAACATCATATAGGGCACCAATTTCCTCAGCCACACAATTTCCATTTTGTCAAGTTTGTCAGAAGAGGCATCTTGGAGAGTGTAGGAGATTTTCTGGTGTATGCTTTCACTGTGGCCAACCTGGGCACATCATGAGGGACTGTCCGCATTCGAGAGAAGTAAGAGCTACACAGTCTGAACCTTCAGTGCAATTTAGTAGAGCCCCATTCAGGGGTGGTTACCAGGGAGGCCGTAGTGGATTTCAGAGTGGTCGTGGTGGTTCACAGGGTGGTAGAGGTGGTGGTCAAAATCAACCATCAGGAAGTGGTACGCAAGGTACCAGAGCACAGGGAGCACCAAGGGTTTATGCAATGACTCGAGGTGAGGCAGAAGTGGCACCAGAAGTTGTGACTGGTATGCTTTCTATCCTTGGCAAGCAATTATATGCTTTGATCGATACTGGTTCCTCTCACTCATTCATGTCATATACGTTCGCACATATGCTACGCTTAGTTCCAGATAAGCTAGGTTATACCTTATGTGTTAAAACACCTGTGGGAGATACCTTGAAGGTAGACTCAGTTATTAGAAGTTCCTTCATTTGTGTGGAAGGAGCTTTCCTAGCAGCAGATTTAATTCTGCTACCTTTTGATGAATTTGATGTCATCCTTGGAATGGACTTTCTGTCAACACATGGAGCTGTTGTGGATTGTCAAAAGAAAGAAGTGTTATTTAACACACCAGATAAAGGTCCTGTTGTATTCCGAGGCATTAAGAAAAAGGAGACTCATGGTTTTCTTTCTGCCTTGGAAGCTTTTCTGTTAGTGAAGGAAGGTTGTGAAGCCTTTCTTGCTCAAGTTACTGTTGTAAATGATAAGAAGGTTGAGGATGTAGAGGTGGTAAGGGAGTTTCCTGATGTATTTCCCGAAGAACTTCCCGGCCTTCCACCAGAAAGGGAAGTAGAGTTTGATTTTGAATTGGTACCTGGCACAACACCAATTTCAATGGCACCATATAGAATGGCACCAATTGAGCTGAAGGAGCTTAAAGAACAATTGCAAGAATTGTTAGACAAGGGGTTTATTCGACCTAGCATCTCACCTTGGGGTGCACCGGTTTTGTTTGTCAAGAAGAAAGATGGCTCCATGAGAATGTGCATTGACTACCGAAGGTTGAATAAGGCGACAGTGAAGAATCATTATCCCCTTCCAAGAATAGATGATTTGTTTGATCAATTGCAGGGTGCATCTGTCTTTTCTAAGATTGATTTGAGGTCTGGATATCATCAATTGAAAGTGGCAGATGGAGCAACTTCAAAGACAGCTTTTAGAACAAGATATGGGCATTATGAGTTCCTGGTAATGCCTTTTGGACTCACTAATGCACCAGCAGTATTTATGGCTCTTATGAATAGAGTTTTCCATGAATATCTTGATAAGTTTCTGATTGTGTTCATAGATGATATTCTCATCTATTCTAAAAGCGAGGAGGAGCACAAAACTAACCTTAGAATTGTGTTGCAAATTCTAAGGGAGAAACAATTATATGCAAAATTCTCAAAATGTGAGTTTTGGCTGAAGGAGGTCATATTTCTGGGACATGTAATTTCTGGAAGAGGTGTCGAGGTGGATCCGAAAAAGGTGGAAGCAGTGGTGAGTTGGGCTCCACCAAAAGATGTGTCGGAGTTGAGAAGTTTTCTTGGCATGGCTGGTTATTATCGGCGGTTTGTCGAAGGATTTTCCAAAATTGCTGCACCATTGACTAAACTGTTGAGGAAGAATACCAAGTATGTTTGGGATGAATCATGTCAAAAGAGTTTTGATGAACTGAAGAAGAAATTGACCACAGCACCAGTACTGGCTTTACCTTCAAACCATGGAGAGTTTGTGGTGTATAGTGATGCCTCGTATCAAGGATTGGGCTGTGTGTTAATGCAAGATGGAAGAGTTATCGCATATGCCTCTAGGCAATTGCGTCCTCATGAAGTAAATTATCCCACTCATGACTTAGAATTGGCAGCGGTGGTATTTGCTCTCAAGATTTGGCGACATTATTTGTATGGTGAGACTTTTAAAATCCTAACTGATCATAAAAGCTTGAAGTATATTATGGATCAGAAGGATTTAAATAGTCGCCAGAGGAGATGGATTGAACTTCTAAAAGATTATGATTGTACAATTGATTACCATCCAGGTAAAGCTAATGTAGTTGCTGATGCTTTGAGCAGAAAAGGCAAGAAGAATATAACGGATCTGGTTGATTTGAGGGCAATGAATGTTTATTTGGAAGTGGATGGTGTAACAGGGTTACTAGCTCGGTTGAATATTCGACCTTTGTTGCATGACAAAATTTGTGAGAAGTAGAAGGAGGACCCAGAGTTGGCAAAAATCATTCAAGACATTGAGGAAGGAAAAGAAAGCCCATTTGAAATGGTAGATGGCATGTTGAAGATTAATGGAAGAGCATGTGTTCCTAATGTTGATAACTTGAGGAAAGAGATCCTAGATGAAGCTCATTCTTCTGCTTATGTTATGCACCCAGGAGCAACTAAAATGTATCACACGATCAAACCATATTTTTGGTGGCGTGGGATGAAAAAGGAAGCGGCTGAACATGTTTTCACATGTCTGGTATGTCAGAAAGTTAAGGCAGAACATCAAGCTCCCGTGGGAAAACTGCAACCACTTCCAATTCCAGAATGGAAGTGGGAAAGAATCACAATGGATTTTGTATATGGTCTCCCATCATCAAAGGGAAAAGATGCAGTATGGGTTATTGTGGACCGACTAACCAAATCGGCTCACTTTTTACCCATTAGATGGAAACCATCACTGGAGACTTTGTCTCAACTATATATTAAGGAGATCGTCAGATTGCATGGTGTGCCAATTTCTATTGTCTCTGATCGAGACCCAAGCTTCACATCTCGGTTTTGGCAAAGTTTACATGATGCCTTGGGAACTAAATTAAATTTTACTTCAGCTTATCATCCTCAAACAGATGGGCAGAGTGAACGAACCATCCTAACTTTGGAGGAACTACTTCGATCATGTGTAATGCAATGGGAGGAATCATGGATTGACCATTTGCCCCTGATTGAGTTTGCTTACAACAATCAGTACCATAGTAGTTTGGGTGTCCCACCATATGAAGCACTTTATGGGAGAAAATGTAGAACACCATTATGTTGGGATGTAGAAGGAGCAAGGCAAATCTCAGGGCCAGAGATAGTTCAGATCACAGTTGATAAGGTCAAGGAAATCAGGGAGCGGTTGAGGGTGGCTCAAGATCGACAGAAAGTTTATGTTGACACGAGTAGGCGTGAAGTTAATTTCGAAGTGGGTGAGAAAGTATTTCTTAAAGTGTCACCATGGAAAGGGGTGATGAGATTTGGTAAGAAAGGGAAACTTGCACCTCGGTATATTGGACCCTATGAAATCACAGAGAAGATTGGACCCGTGGCATATAAACTAGCATTGCCTGCAGAGTTATCCCAAATCCACAATGTATTTCATGTTAGTATGCTGAAGAGGTACAAAGTGGATCCTTCCCATGCCATACAACCGGAAGAGATCGAGTTGGGTCCAGATTTAACTTTTGAGGAGGTTCCAGTTAAGATTGTTGATTTTCAGATTAAGACTCTTCGCAGGAAAGAAATCCCAATGTTGAAAGTGGTTTGGAGAAATCAAGAAAGTGAGAGTGCTACCTGGGAAACTGAAGCAAGTATGCGAGAGAAGTACCCTGAGTTGGTAGCAACCTACTTTGCAGGTTAACAATCTTGCCTAATAAGATATGTTTTGAACTTGCTGATGTGCTTTTGTTGTGATAGCCCAGTATAGGTTTTTGAAACCTAAGCATGGGAACTTGAGGTGTTATGTGTTACTCTCTATGTTATGAATCTCCTAACCTAAAAGTTAGGTAGTAACAAGATTTGTGATAGTGTAGGTTGGGGGGGGGGGGGGGGGAACGAGCGGATATGTACTATTGACTCAATGTTAGATTTCGGGGACGAAATCTTTTAAGGAGGGGAGAATTATAACACCCCGTTCCGGTAAAACCCATATTTCGATCACTAGAAAGTTCGCGATTTAAAATCGAGCATTTCGACACTATTTCGGCGAAAATCGGATTATCGATCGATCGGATAAGTATACGTATTAATTTTTTATATATATATATTTAATTACACTAAGCGGCCCTTATGGATTTATATAAATCCATCTCGTCCAATTCCTGTCCATTTCCCCATCCAACTCTTTCTTCTTCCTTTTTCCATTCACGGACCGAGCAGAGGGCGCACAGGGCTTGCGAGAGGAAATTTCAAGAGCTCAAAATCTTAGGTCTAGTGGTCCAAAAATCCCGTAAGTAATGCCTAATTCATCCATACATCGTGATTTATCGATTTAGAGCTTTAAAACGAGTTTTTGGTTCAGGAATTTCTTGAATTCCCGATAAGCCAAATTAGGGTTTCGGAGTATCCGGAAGCCGGATTGAGCCCAAATTTCATATACGAGCTTCCTGCAGCGAGGTAATCAATCTTCTAGTTCTAATCCCTGAATTTCGGCTATTATTTAGGCCGGGGTCCAAACCGCTGAATTTAGCTCCGGCCAGGGTTTGATGTGTTTTTATCGAGAATTTGACGCGGAGCCCAGAACTAATATTGACGGGGATACTGCAGGGGATATTAGGACGGTCTCGGATTTTAATTCGGGGTTCGTTCGAGAAATTGACGTTTTAGTACGGGAAGGTTAAACCGGTGTTTGAACGACCAGAACTGGTGAGGGATTAGCACAGCATACCGGGTTTGTCGTATCATGATAATTATATTGATGCTTAGAATTGATCTGGGTGAACTAGAATGGCATGATTAGGGGTGTATGGATTTTTGTGCTATATGATGAACCCTGGACTGTTGTATGATATTATTGACTTGCCCTAATCGATATGAACCTTGTTTATGTGGATGATTGCATACATGTTGCCATTTGTGGCTTAATTGTTGATATGACTTCATGGTTGTTCGATAAGGGGTTTTGATATGATGTGATATTATGGTTGTATTTGGATCCATAAGTGGAGGAATAAACTTCCCAAGGTGATATTATGATGTTTAAGGAGGATGACTTGCACGAGGGTTTATCCCGAGGAAGTGCAATTATACGACTCCTAATTTACCTATGTTGAGCCAATTATGGTCAGTTCAAGTACATGTGCAAGTAATGAATTATGATTAAGCAAGATGAGATATGAATCATGTATAAGGATACCAAATATGAGTGTTGTGATCTCACGGTCAACTACATAGTAATTAGGGCTCCCTATGCTATTACTCTATTATGATATGTATGATAGTCACACCTCTCATGTGGTGGTGACTGAAGAATTCTTATGAGATATGACCACACCCATAGCGGTGTCGGGGTATGACTACACCCATAGTGGTGTGGGGTATGTATGACCACATCCGACAGGATGTTGGGGTATGTATGACTACATCCGACGGGATGTGGGGTATGTTTCCCGGGAGAGTTATTAGCATGGGAGTAGCCAGGCGCCTATGATTAAAACATGATAAGATGCATATGCATAAGTCAAGGTGGTTGAGTCTTTTGCCTATTGGGATATGAGGATGGCTGAGGTCCTATCCTAGTGTTTTGGCTTGATTGTTAGATGTATGATAGGGGTGTGCTCTGTTATGAACTCACGATGCTATGATTATCTCACTCAGCTATGAGCTGACCCTCTTTTATTCTTCTTCTCTGCTTATGCTATGTGTAAGCAGATCATCAGCAGCAGTAGATAGGTGTATAGGTGGGAGCTGAGCAAGAGTTGAAGGCAAGATGAGGTATGGTCTTCAACTACTCTGTGCTTGGACTACTACTCGGGATTTTGGCCAGTGATCCACACCTTTTTGTAAAAGAATGTTTTGAGAACGTTTTTCATGTGCATACTAGCTTCTGATCTAGTGTGAGATATCCACAGGTGTGGAAAGTTAATGATATGTGTATATGTTGTGTAACTGTGTAAGTTGTGACGATTATGGTATGTATAAGTATGGTATGCAGTTAGGAAGTATGAAAAGTGTGACTATGGCTAAGAAAAGCCAATGCATATGGTTGTGAGTATATATGTTTGTGATGAATTATTTTGCAGGTTAAGTTGCAAGAACTGTTAGCCCATTACGCGAGTAATTCATGTCGAAATTTTATTTAGGTAAATTTGGATAATTAATGTAACACCCGAGATTAATTCCGCTGCAATTGTATGAAAAATATGATTAGGAAAAAATATAGGGTAGGGTGTTACATATTGCTTCAGCTTTCTATCCCGGTGAAGACTAGTCGTCTGCCGGGTAGTCAGACTGAGAGGGCTTGGTCAGCTTAAGAGATTCCAAGCTACTGTCGGATCTTCCGCAGTTTAATCAACAGTAAAACAACCAAAAGGAATTACAACTTGGACCTAATTGAGGAGCTAGGGGGAATCATACCTAAGTGAGTTCCCAAACTGTAATTAGTAGTTTTACTTAGTTTAGTTAGTAGAGTAGTTTAGTTAATCAATCCTTAATCTAGTTTGCTAGATAATGAACAGAAGCTGAGTAATAGTAACTCTAGAGACCCGTGGATTCGATATTTATTACTTGTGCCACTATACTGCAGTCCCTTTCATTGGTTACACTTGGCCATTGTTAGGTGTTGTGTTTTAGAGCATCAAGTTTTTGGCGCCGTTGCCGGGGAACCTCTAGGTTATTGGGGAAACGTGAGAATTTGTTACTCTAGCCTTTTATTTACTGCATTTTATCTCTTCCATCTGTGTGCCTTCACGGGTTGCTTCTGCTGATTGTGTGCAGGTAGTGCATGACCCGTAGCCAGTCGGGAGATCTACTACCACTAGACCAGGAGCTTGAACGAACCTGCAGAAACTTCAAGCGGGCTCTAAAGGTGCGACTGGCTGCGGAAGAGGCGCTATCACAGCTGCAGTTAAAAGAAGAAGAAGAAGAAGAGATGGCTGATCCAGGGAACCATGATGTGATCCCTGAGGAGCAGACCATGGGATCCTACTGGACCGCTAGAGCTGCGGACATGAGGTCACCCATTCAACATCCTCATGTCCCGGCCAACAACTTTGAGGTGAGCACCTCAGTAATCACCATGTTGCGCGGTTCAGTGGTGTTCCGTGGTAAGGAGGGGGAGTGCCCCCGATCACATCTCAGGCGATTCCACAAGCTCATTGATGGAATCAAGATCAATGGGGTACCCGCAGATGCCATCCAGCTGAGGTACTTCCCATTCACCTTGGAGGGGCAGGCCAAGGAGTGGCTAGACACTCGACCTCCGGGATCCATCACCACGTTCGCCAACCTGGCGGACAAGTTCCTTACCCGCTACCATCCTCCGTCCAAGATGGCGGACTTGCAGAAGCAGATTACCCACTTCACCCAGGATGAAGATGAGACCATCCGAGACGCCTAGGAGAGATACAACAGCCTCTTCCTGAGGTGTCCCAATCATGGTTTCAACGATGCTTTCAAGGTGGGAACCTTCTATCACGCCCTCTTCCCGGAGGACAAGCAGCTGATTGATTCGGTTTGTGGCGGGAACATGCTGACCAAAACACCGCCACAGCTGAATCAACTCTTTGAGGAGATGGCGGAGAACGGGTACGATTGGGGCACTGCCAGGAGATCGAGACGAGCACCAGGACGGGGTGTGCATGCTGTAGGCACCCAGTCATCTGATTTGGTGCAGGTGGTATCGAAGCTGGTTTCAGCTATCGATCGTTCTGGTTTGATTGCAGGTACAGGGCAGCCGCAGGCTATGCACTGCCAGTGGTGTGAGAGCTCCCATCACACCGTAGAGGACTGCCAGGCGATGAAGGAATCGACAACACCCCAGGAGCAGGTGAACTTCATCAACAATGTTAGGCGCAATGACCCCTACAGCAACACTTACAACGAGGGGTGGCGCCAGCATCCCAACTTCTCCTGGGGTGGGGCAAATTCCAAACCACCAGTCCCCCAGGGACCACCGGGCTTCCAGAGGCCGCCATATCAGCCCAGACAGGGGCAATTCCAGCAGCCACAGCAGTCTCTCTACCAGCCCATGCAGGGGCATGCTGCGCCATCACAGCCGCGACCTTTCCAGCAGCCAGGTGCAGCCCCTGCCGCCCCAGTGCAGAATGATCAGATGGCTGAACTGCGGGAATTGGTGGGTTCTCTCGCCAGTTCTAGTGCTCAAAAATTTAACACCATCGATCAGTTCATGGAAAAGGCATCGGGCAAATTCCTGGCTCTGGAAGCTGGCCAGAGGAACACACAGGCTGTCTTGCAGGATATCCAAACCCAGCTGGGGAGTGTGGCTCAAGCAGTGGCACAAAGGGCTCCTGGTACTCTACCCGGTCAGACCATCCCTCATCCTCAAAACCCGAATGAGCACTGCAATGCCATCATGACCAGTAGTGGCAAGATGACTGTTGATCCACCTGCTCGGGCACAAGAGAGAGAGGCCCCTGCCTCGGCATCTCCAGCAGCTGAAGAAGAAGCAGAGAAGGAGGTTGAGGTGCCTGCACCTAAACCGCAACCAGTAGTGAAGGAGTATATCCCTAAACTCCCCTTCCCTACTCGGTTGCACAAAGACAAGCTGGAGGCAGAGTTCGAGAACTTCATGGCCATGCTTAGGAAGCTGAATGTCCAAGTACCTTTCCTGGAGGCACTATCTCAAATGCCTAAGTATGCGAAGTTACTGAAGGATCTTCTCTCAAAGAAGCAGAAGCTGAGCGAGCTGGCCACTGTGGAGCTCAACGAGGAGTGCTCGGCCATTCTGCAGAACAAGCTTCCGCAGAAACAGAAGGACCCAGGTAGTTTTACTATCCCGTGCTCTATAGAAAATTTGCATGTAGAGAGGTCCTTGGCGGATTTAGGTGCTAGTATCAATGTTATGCCATATAAACTGTTTAAGAAACTAGGCCTAGGTGAACCTCGTGCCACTAGGATGAGCCTTCAATTAGCTGACTGATCTGTAGTGCATCCTAGGGGCATAGTGGAAGACCTTCTGGTTAAGGTTGGCAAATTCAATTATCATGTTGATTTTGTGATTTTGGATATAAATGAGGATGTGGATGTGCCATTGATACTGGGAAGGCCTTTCCTGGCCACCGCCAAGGCCCTCATAGATGTGCATGATGGGACCTTAGTTTTGAGGGATGGTGAGGAGCTAATAGCGTTTTCAATTTCTAATACTCGTCCTGCTTCGTCACCTCTGCATGTTGTATCTCACCAGGAGCACGAGTCTGTCGTGTATCCTTCTGTGTTGCTTATTTTGCAGGATCCGCCTCCCATACCTTCGCCGCCACTCCCGTCCACTCCATCATCGAAGGAACAAATCAGGGAGGAGTGGCGGCCGAAACAGCAGGCAGCTAAACCTGCTCGAAAGAAGGCCGGAGACCACTATGAGCTGGTCCCGCCCCCACCTTGGCCATCCGAGTATTCACTCGCTTGCATCCTGCCGGATGGCCAAGTTGAGTTGGCAAATGTTGGTGGCCACATTCGGCGTGTGCATGGCCATCATTTGAAGTTGTACCTCAAGAGCGAGGTGGATCCGCTCTTGAAGGCACCTACTCCTTCACCTCACTGAGCATCCACCGACTGGCGTCCAGCTAAAAGACGGTAAAGTCGGTAAAGAGTTGTATGTCGTTCTGGAGTGAAAACAGGTCATTTTCGGAGTTCTGGCAGCTCACACGGCCAGCCCTGAATGTCACACGGCAGTGTGGAAAATAATTTTGGCCGTGTGAGCTCTCGCAGAATTCCACACGGCCAGATGAGATGTTGGCACGGCCGTGTGGAAATCTGCCCTGACCGTGTTTGCTCTCGCAAATTTTGGCACGGCCGAGTGAAATTCCTCGGCCAGCCCGTGTCGGCCGACACGGGCAAAAGTGCTCATGACACGGCCGTGCGAGTCAGGCCGTGTGGCCGAGACACGGCCTATATATTCGGCCAACACGCCCGGGTCGTCAGAAATTTCAAAATTCCTCACCGGAATCCTCTGTTCCTCGCGGGAAAACCGCGACAAAACCACACTTTTCGATTTTTTTCTGCCATTTTTTGTCATTTTTCCACCAAACCAACAACAAACCCACCATTCCTACACCAAAAGCGGCCTATCCCTCCATTTTGAATTGATTTGGACGACGTTTTTGTCGCCGGAGGCGATTTCCGGCGAGACTCCGGCGAGGCTCTGACGAGCACTTCCGGGCAATTTTTTCGGCGTTTCGTCGCTTCCATCGCCTTCCCCTCATCATCCCCTACACCTCTACTTGAGTCTCCATGTTTGATTTTGCCTTTAACTATGTTAATTGTGGAGAATTGGGTGTTAGGGTGCATGTTTAGAGAACCTCATTGAATCTTATGATTTTTGTGCAATTGATTGAGGGGAATGCATGGAGTGTGTTTGAATTGTGTTGGGCAAAGTCCCTCTTGGTTGTTTGAGCCCTTGTGTGCAAGAATTGTGCCAATTTCATGCTTACCTTAATAGTGCACACAAGGTGTTCGATGAAATGCATGTTTTCGTACCATTTTGTTGGGGTCGGTTGGGGCCCTTAATGATGTGCTTTGAGGGTGTATTTGGTATGGATGTGAACCTTAAGTTGCCTACTTTAGCGTGAATGTGCACCCCCCACTCAGATTATGCTTGATTTATCGAGTTTCTAACCCCCGAACTATGGATGAAACCATGGTTAGGCTGTTTTCTGTTCTTAAGTGTGGGGGTGTGATTAACATTTTCCTTGGCTGTTTTGGTTCCACTTTGGGCTGTTCTTTTGCAGGACCATGTCGAAGCCCAACCTCCGGCACCAGTTTGTTCAGGATTTGAGAAGGGGGCCCCACCGGGATCGTTTTCAGAACGTCCTGGCCTGCAAGTTTGGGCAGCATCATTACTGGTCCAAGCGCGAGTTGGAGAAGCTGAACTGCTACGAGCACCTCTCCCCCGTTGTCACCAACCGCTACTGGCGCCGCCTACTCAGCATTCGCGCGAAGGTTTACCATGAGCTCGTGCTTGAGTTCTACACTACCTTCAAGCACGCAGCCACGGCCGATTGGAAGGACGAAGCTGCAGTCCAGTTCCGACTCGGCGGTGAACCACGCTCCATGAGTTACGACGAGCTGGCGGACGCCCTCGGCCTCAACTTGGTCAATGACAGGGACTACATCACAGAGATCGCCGAGCCAGAAAGGGTGGACTTTGGGAGGCTGTACTTCAGCCTCGCTCGGCCACGTCAGCTTCCCTTCAAGGCGGGGAAGACGAAGGCCAGCACATTGCAGCTCGAAAACCGTCTCCTCCATCACATGCTGGCCAAGTCTTACACCCCAGCCTCAGACAGTGCCAGCGCCATCACCAAGAGATCCTTGTACTTCATCCAGTCCATGCGCCAGAGGGATCATCCCCTACACTTGGGCTCGGTGGTGGCGAGGACCTTCGAGAAGAGTGCTTCTGAGCTGAAGAAACTCCATTGCACTCCTCTCATCACCTGCCTGGCAGAGTACTTCCAGATATCCCTGCAGGGGTGCATAGAGCAGGGAGAGACCACTCCCTTTGGCTGGGTTACGTTCACCAAAATGCTCCTGCTTCGAGAAGAGCGAGGTGTCATGTGGATCGAGGGGTTTCCTCAACCTCAGATCCCGGAGGCGGTCCAGCAGGAGGCTCCCGAGGGTGCAGCTGATGAGGAGGTCCAGCCCGAGGACGTGGATGACACTGCTGTCGCCCGCCCCACCACCTTCGAGTATGGGGGTGGCAGCTCCAGTTTCCAAGGGCAGGATTACTTCACCTCCCAGTTCGAGCAGCTGCGTCTCCAGAACCAGCAGATCCTCGACCATCAGATGCAGTTCCAGCAGCAGTACGCGGCTCACCAGGCCGAGTACCACCAGAGGATAGCTGTTTACGATGAGAGATTGGACCAGATCCAGACCCAGCAGGGAGTGACTCTCGCACACATCGAGCGAGAGAGGCGCCGTTCACGGCGCATGCAGGAGGTCCAGCGGCATTTGCTCCGGCTGCAACCGGGCGAGCAGCCCGTTTGGAGGACTCCCTGGGAGGACTCTCCACTTCCACCACCCCCAGCGGATGGTGATGATGGTGCTGATGGTGGTGACGCCTTCATGAACGACATCGACTTTGGTGATCTTGGCGACGAGTAGGCTGTACTCGTTGCCCATCTCAGTGTGTTTTGTTTTTCGTTTTAGACTTGTGTGTGTTTGCTCCATGTGTGAGGAGCTTGAACTTAGTGTCTTTTGTTTTTGTTATTTTCCTTTTGTGGATTGTTTTTGCTGTAGCCGTCTGGGCTTATCCCTAACACACGTGTGCTAGTGTGTTCTTTGTGTTCGATTCATGCAGAACAGTCCATCTTCCCGTTTGTTTCTCGCTGACTGGTCCACTTCCAGTCCCCCAGCAGTTTCAACTATTCCTCTACTCCATTGAGGGCAATGTCGTGCTTAAGTGTGGGGGGGGTGCTTTGTATCGGTTGGAATGTATATATGTGTGCTTGGAGCCTAGTCCACTGTCCAAATCTCGAGATTTGAGGGCTCCAAGTACTACTGTTTGATCATATTGGCACTGTGTTTTGATTGATGAATTGAATGGTTTTCGGATTGATGCATGACAGCTTGATTGTGACTAGGACAACCTATGATGAGGACTAAGACGTGCAGTAGAGTTGTGTAGGGGTTCAGTTTTTCAACTGTTTGCTTACCAACTGTGACTTGGATTGATTACTTGTTCTTGACAGTCTCTTATGCATCTAGTTCAGGGTATCAGAATGTGAGATAGAGCATATAGGTAGCCATGTGAGATTTGAGCCTGCTTGTTTCTTTCTTGTGCGATAGATCCCTCTTCCATGATGTGTAGCATTCACGTTGTCACTAGCTAGGATGATGGGGGCATAGGATTAGCCCACGACCAAATTTGACTGTCCTGATGTGTCATATCCCCTAGTCAGCCCTTTTGAGCCGTGTGTTATCCTTTCTTTTGGTCTTAAATGAAAAAAATCACCCTTTTGCATCTTTTAGAAGGTTCCACAGAGTGGGTTTTACATATTCTCTACTGTTTTTGCTAAATTTAATGTGAGTGTTGGAGGTAATGCTTAAAAGTTGGGCTGGGCAGGTGTTTGAAATATATGCAGAAGTGGTGGCTCTCTTAAGAAATGAAAAGAAAATGAAAGAAAAACAAAGAAAAATTGGAAGCAAAAGAGAGCCACTACCAAAAATCTGAATAATGCCCAGTAAGTAGTGTTTCTTAGCGGTCTGGCTTGGAAATGCTGACATTTATACCTCCTTCGCTCTTGTGCTCTTGAGATATTGAGTAATGCAGAATAGCAGAAAGGAAATACCGGTTTGTTTGACTGTGATTGTTTGGGTTTGGAAATGTGGAACCTTGTGCTATGAATACTTCCACCACCTAAAAGGCCTTTTCCCCATGTCCAAGACCCTAGCCAGTCATTTGAACCTGTGTCTAAGACCTCCTGATTAGTTAGTGGTGACACCCCATATGTGAACTCTAGCGTTTAGAGGCTGCCATCATGGTGAAGAGATGTTAGGGATTGAGAGAAATAGCATGCGCATTTTTCGCATCAAATTGTCCTGACCCCACTGGTCGAGAGTGAGTGATTCATTTTCATATTCTATATACTCTTGTACCCCGGTGAGGACCTAGATTGCTCGGTCTCTATTCTGATGTCTTGAGTTGGATGCATGAGTTGACTGTTTTGAGTAAGTGGTTGAGTCAAGTCTAGGTTGGTTGGTGAACAGAAGGGAGACTCTTCCTTTACTCGATTTTGCTGCACTCGAATGTCCTTTGTGGTGGTTGTCCAGGTTGCTGTTGAAGTTGGTCATGTATTGATGTTTGAAAACCAGTACGATTCACATGTTCTGTGCCTTTATGACTTGTCCCCAATGTTGGTTGATTGGAAATATGTAAGCTTACCTTGTGTCTGACTTGGTTTGCTTGGGGACAAGCAAACGGTTAAGTGT